ATTCGAACACCATTGAAAGTAAACAGATGGAAAAATATCTATCATGCAAACAGCAACCATCAGAAAACTAGCTATACTAATATCAAACAAAATTGACTTTAAAACAAAAAATATTACTAGAGAAGGACATTTTATTGTGATAAAAGGATCATTCCATCAGGAAGATACAAGTATAAATATAGTTATACCTAATAACAGAGGGCCAAAATACACGAAGCAGAAATTGACAGAATTGAAGAAAAAACAGACAATTAAACAATAATAGTTGAAGACATCCATATCCCTGCTTCCATAATGGACAGAAGAACTAGGCAGATAAGCATCGCTATAAACCAGCTAGACCTCACAGCACCCCACATCAGCAGAACACATTCCTCTCCAGCGCACACGAAGCAGTCTCCAGAACAGCTCCCATGCTGGGCTCGGAAACAAACCACAATCAATTTAGAAGGACTGAAACAATACAAAGTATGTTCTACGACCACAACGGAATAAAGTTAGAAATCATTAAAAGATGTTTGGGAAACTCACAAATATGTGGATATTAAACAACACGCTTCTAAACAACCAGTGGGTCAAAGAAGAAATCAGAAGGGAAATGAGAAAATACCCTGTGACAAAGAAAAATATAGACACAGCAGACCCCAAAACTTATGGGATATAGCTCAGAGGGAAATTCATAACTATAAACATCTACGTTAAGCAAAAGAAGGATGTAAAGCCAGTAACTGAACCTTCCACTTCAAGAAACTAGAAAAAGAAGATGGAAGGAAATAATGGAGGTTAGAGCGGAGAACCGGAAGCAGGGACGGCGAAGAGATATTTACAAACCCGCGTTCATAGCAGCGGCATTCACAATAGCCAGAGGTGGAAGCAGCCAGTTGTCCACTGGTGGATGAATGGATAAACAAAGTGCGGTGTATATACACAATGGAATATTATTCAGCCTGAAAAAGGAACAAAACTGTCACACATGCTATAAAATAGACGAGCCTTGAGGACACTACGCTAAGTGAACTAGGCCAGTCACAAAAGGACAAATACTGTGTGATTCCACTTATCTGAGGCGTTTGGAGAAGTCAAACTCACAGCACAGAAAGTAGAATGGTAGTTGTGAGGGGAGGAGGAGGAGAGGAAATTATTGTTTGGTAAGTACAGAATTTCAGTTTTGCAAGATGAAAAGTGTTCTGCGGACAGAGGATGGTGATGCTCGCGTAACGCGAATTCATTTAATGCCACTGAACTGTACACCTGAAAATACTTAAGATGGTAAATTTTACGTCATGTGTATCTTACCACAATTTAAAAATAAAGATTAGAGTGGAAAGTAATGAAATGGAGAATAGAAAAGCATAGAGAAAATCAACTCAACCAAAATTGGTTCTTTGACAAGTTTAACAAAATTGACAAAACGTTAGTTGGACTGACCACGAGAAAAGAGAAAAGACTCAAACTACAAGAACCAGAAATGAAAGATGGGACGTTATTACCAACCTGACAGAAATACAAAGGATTACAAGAAAATACTATGGACAACCATGTGCCAATAAATCAGTAAATTAGATGAAGTGGACTGATTCCTAGAAATACACGCACTACAATCCCTAACTCAGAAGAAATGGAAAACCAGAACAGATCTATGACAAGTAAAGAGATAGAATTAGTGACCAAACATCTATCCACACAGGAAAGCCCAGGCTCAGATGGCATCGCAGCGGAATTCTATCAAACGTCTAAACAAGAACGAATACTAATGCTTCACTCTTCCAGAAAAGAGAGCATGACGGGACACTTCCACAATCATGGGAATTGATCCAAGATCCATGAACGAACCTTGAAAACATTACACTAAGTGAAAGAAGCCAGTCATAGAAGACCACGTGTTGTATGATTCTCTTTCTACGAAATGTCCAGAACAGGCAGATCTGTGTAGAGAGAAAGCAGGTGAGTGGTTATGGCTGCCAGGGGAGGGAAGATCAAGAGGTGGAACGCAGAGTATGAAGTTCCTTTCTGAGGTGACGAAAGTATTCTCCGATTGTGGGGACAGCTGCACCACTCCGTGCATATACTGGAAATCACCGAATTGTACACTTTCGATGGGTGAATTATATGGCAAGTGAATCATATGTCATTAAAGCTGTTCCAAAAAAATCATTCTGCTTTTAACAATATATATGTTAAGCTCTTACATGATATTTCATTTGCGACACGGGCTTCTTCCCATGGTTCCTAAAAGCCTTGCCGACTGCGCCTTCCTGCAGAAGACCTGCACCGAGTACCCGCGGCGCGGGGCAGCTCAAGCTGGCACAGGCTCACACAGCCAGGGACACAGGGGTGAGTCTAGCCCAGCTCCTGCCCCTGCCCAGCTTTTGGTCAGGTGGTGGGTACGCAGCATCCAATTTAAATTCCAACCTGCCAAAACACCTAGGACCTTGCCAGGTGGGTGCACTCTTTGCAGTGATCCAAAGGAAAAAAAAAAAAATAACACTAGCCAACATTTATTGAGCACTTCCTGTGTGCCAGGCACCGTGCCAAGCACTTTCCATGCATTGTTCCATTGCATCCTCACAACGCCCCTGTGTGTCAATGCTCCCATTAGCCTCATGTGACAGACAACGAAATCGATGCTATGAGTCGGTGCTCCCAGCACTCCCCAGGGGAGGAGGGAGATCCTTGGGCCTTCTGGAGATCTGGACAGAAGCAGGTTTGGGATGGAGCTGGGAAAAGCCCTCACTCAGCTCAAGGGAGAAACTGAAGCTCCACAGACCACACCACTTCTCAGCTTGGAGGGGCATGGATGCGCAAGGAGGCAAAGAACACTGTGTCCCATTCTGGAGCTCTCATGCATGTCCTGCCCTCTCCTCCGCGCTGTGCCTGAGATTCTGTTTCTTCCACTGTAAAATGGGGCCACTACGCCTACATCTGCCATAGAGTTGAGAGCCCTACACAAGACAATGATCCATATAAAGGAAGAACCAGTGTAAATGCTGTGCTGGAAAGCAGGAGGGACTCTCTGTCCCAAGATTTTTTTTCTTTTTGAGACTGGGTCTCACTATCTTGCCCAGGCTGGTTTTGAACTCCTGGTCTCAAATGATCCTTCTGCCTCAGCCTCCTGAGTAGCTGGAGCTACACCCATGAACCACTGTGCCCAGCTTGCCCAACGTTCAGAAGAGCTCTGGCCCTGTCTGGAGAGAGGGCAGCGATTGCACATACACGTACACACGCACTCAGACACACACTCACACGCACGTCCACCATCCCTCCACCTCTGGTCACCATCCATTGCCCTTAGACACTTGTCACGCTGTGGGAGGATCTGTCACCCTTCTCCCAAGCCCTCCTGCTCCTGGAAGCTTCCCCGGCTGCCAGCCCAGAGTGAGTGCACATCCTTGAAACCCCCATCGCCCCTGCTGGCGTCTGTGTGTCACCTGCCTGCCTGGGTTAGAATCCCAGCTCCCCCGCTGACCAGCTCAATGATCCTGTGCCAGTTCCCTCCTTGCCAGAAGCATCTGTTTCTTCATGTAAAATGAGGCCAACGAGAACATCCAATGCATAGGGTGGTTTCGCTAAATGAAATACTGCTTGGAGAGCATCTGGCACAGTGCCCGCCTCCTCCCTACCGGGCTCAGGCCTGCTCTGCCCACTCCCCAGGCTGTGTGGGCGGGGGACGCTGGAGGGTGGTTGTGGACGACAGTGTGGACAGGAGCTGAGAGACCCTGTGCTGGGGCGCAGCTGGGCAGCACACATGGCGCTGTGGACTGGGGGGCATGGGCATGCCCTTGAGGCCCAATCAGATCCTTAGCTGCCCATCTGCCCCTCCTCCTACCCAGAGAACCCTGGGGAGGGGGCTCACTCTCTGCTGGCATCTGCTCATGCCAAGGGCCTTTGCTCGCTGCATATATTGAGGGGTGTGGGGTCTGGAGGAAAGATACCAGTGGGTCAGCGCCACCATTCAGGGTCCGGGGTGGGGGAGGCACACGACTCACCGGGGGATCTTACTGAAATGCAGTGCAGGGTGGCCGCAGTTCTCCATTCCTAACAACCTCCCCAGAGGCACAGCCGCAGCTGTGCTGGGCCACACTTGAAGCGGCAAGGCCCTGACGCACGGACGGGTAATGAGCGACACGCACACCTCAGCCTCCCACCGGGCCTGGAAGGATGCAGCCCCACCCAACCGTGCCTCGGCTTCCACCATCTGGAGGGTGATGCCACATGGATTTTCAGAGTTTCCAAGATTCCATTTCCATTACATATATAAAATAAAAGTAGTACCACATTGTAAAAAATTGGAAAATAAGAAAAACTAATAGCAAAAAGAAACAATCACTGATCATCTCACGCTGTATTTAACATGACTGCACACCTCGGATCCCACGGCCATGTCTGTGAGTGAGCTGGGGGCATCTGTGAGTGGGATGACCCAGCAGCCCCACCCCCGACCCCAAGAGAGAGGCCCAGCCCCGCAGTGCCTGAGGCCTTCACCAAGACCTATCCTGGGGGTACGAAGTCACCTCCTCCCTCGAAGTCACCTCCTCCCTCGAGGCAGGGGCCGAGGAGCAGAGGTGGGGGAGGGGCTGCACATCTGGATTCCTGGCCCAGAGCCCACATTCCTTCTCTGTGAGTGTGAGGGGATGCGGCCTCCCGGGAGCCAGAGCCGAGAGCCGCGCAGAGGCTGCCCCTCATAACGGGCCCCACCCCAAAAAGACTGGTGGGGACTTGAAGGCCCAGAATCCCATTTGGGGGCCCAGTTTGGGTCCAAAGAACCTTCACCCAGATTGCCGACCAGCCAGCATGGGCCCGAGCTGGGCCTCTGTCCTGTCCACACCAGCCAGCCTGGCCTCCGAAACCCCAGAGGGGACCAAGAGGTAGAGACCAGAGGCCAGGGCCACTTTCTGGTGGACAGGCTGCTGGGGAGGCCACTGCATCCGTCCCACCCACAGAAGCCAGTCTGCAGGACAGCAAGGGAGCCCGACAGCCCCTCCCGGGCCACGCTGCCTTACCTGGGGGCAATCCTTGATGTAGTGTCCTTTGTTGAAGCACAGGTGGCACAGATAATTGGGCGGGGGACGCTTGCTGGGCTTGCGGGCCTCGGACGTGAGAGTCAGGTCAGAGAAGTGCTCGGTGAGGGAGCTGAGGCCATCGGCGATGTTGTTGAGGGAGCCATACGGCGAGGCGCTCTTGTACACACTGCTGCTCAGCGCCTGCGGGAGACAGAGGCACGCGTGCTTACAGCTGCGGCCCTGGGGGAGTTTCCATGCACCCCCCGACACACACACACACACACACACACATACACACACACAAAGTCATACTGAACCTTCAGCTGCCCAAGGACTCTGGCCTCCAGGAGCCTGAGTTCAAATTCTAACTCTGGTTGTGTGTCTATGGACAAGCCAGTTAACGACTCTGGGCCTCAGTGGCCCTGTCTGTAAAATGGGAATAATGATTGCTATAACTAGGGTTTCTTTAAGGCTAAAATGAGGTCATGAGTGTAAAGCACTTTATTTTGTGCCTGGCACTTGGCAACCACTCAGTAAATGGTGACGATGATGATGATAATGGGTATTATTATTAATTACCTTTATTTCTTCTTTACGCACTGCCACGACATAAGAAGGTATGGTAGAAAGCAACCTGTCACTAACTGATGGAGTGACTTTAGGAAAACCACTGCTGACTCAGTTTCCCCTCTTGGAAGGAAGGGGGACATCAGCTGGCAGCATCGCCTCCATTTTACACAAGAGAAGACTTAAGTCCAACCTCTGCCTGGTCTCCTGTGGCATGAGGCCTGTACAGGAGACAGCGTGGACTGTGTCCGGGGAGCCCTCAGCCTGGCCCAAGCCACCTCTCTGGGCGCCTGAGGAGGGCAGTGGCCCACCTCTCTCACCTCCAGATGACAGAAACCAGACATCTCACTTAGCTTCAAAGCAGATGTGGCCTAGGCCCCCTCCTGGTGTACACAGCCTCTATTTATAGGAGTCACGGGCTCCAAGCAGCCTGGTGTGCTGGAATTTAGCGAAGGTGGGGCCTCCGATGAGGCTGGCGAGGAACGGCCATGGGTCCCCCTTTCCTGGGGCGAGGCCAAGGCTGGAAAGAGGCAGCTTCCCCAGGAGGGTGAACGACAAACCTGGGCGTGAGGCTTGGGCATGCTCGGCCCAGCTCAGGTGCCCCAAACCTGCAGGAGTAAGCAATGGCCCTTGGGGCCCTTGGGTGTGACGGGAGACGAGGCCTTGTTCTTGGGAGCCCTCGGGCTGTCGGGGAAGCAGGGCCCCTGAACGGAAGGGCCTCAGTCTCCCTGACAGACGGGGTAGACGGGCCCAGAGTGGGGCAGGCTTTTCCGGCTCCCCTCAGTGTAGGGAGGGGAGGGAGGTGGGTTAAGAGCTGGCCCCTCCGCCAGCCGGGACAGAGCCCATCCCTCACATCTGTGTCCCGCGGCCTCCCTGCGGCTTCCAACTTCAGGGGTCTGCCACTCCCCTCCTAGCAGACACAGCCCTCATCATCGGGCGTGGCTACCGTGCTTGGTCCCTCGGGACGCACTGCTGTGTGGCCACAGCTCTTTCCCTCTCTGGGCTTCTGTTCTCCTTTGGGTACTTTTGGACTAGAGCCTGGGACGTGGAAGGGAAGGTACGGACACCACAGCTGGGGCACCCCAGGCCCAACGCACAGTCGGGCTCCAGTGACGGGGCTCCCACAGACCGTATCTGCTCCACCGCTGCGCGGCCCCACCACGCGACCCAGCACCCGCGGAGCAGTCCACACCAGCCCGCACTCGGCCTGAGGGGGCTCTGCCCTCAGAGGAGCCCAAGATGGAGGGTCCGACCCGAGAGGCGGAGGGTCCCCCAGCCCTGGAGGTGTGTGAGCCAATGGGGGTCGGCCTTACGGGGCGTGGGGGAGGGTTCCGATGGAAACCGGATTAGATGATAACAGTAACATATCCCAAGCATCGACTGTGTCTCCGGCACTGGAAATTTTACACATGTTAAGATAGCTGATTCTTACCGCAACCCTATGAGTCACTGTCCCCATCTTACGGATTATGTGAGTGTGTTCAAACCTGTATTCAACGACCTGGGAAGTCTGCGACAAACACAGTTCTCTGGGCCCCACCTCAGACCTACCCCAGCAGCCAGCTACCTGGGCCCCAGGGCCCCAGATCTGCATTTCTTGGTGTGTGGTAAAGTACACAAAACTTACCATTTTAACAATTTTAAGTGGCATTAAGTGCATTCACAAGGTTGCGCGACCATCTCCGCTGTCTACCCCCAGAACCTTTTCATCTTCCCAAACTGAAACTCTGTACCCGTTAAACAACAGCTCCTCCCCCTCCCCCAGCCTGGCGGGTATTTTTCAAGCCCCCCCACACCACCTCCTGGGGGGCAGTTCAGGTACAACCAGCCAGGCCCTACCCCGCCTTAGAGCATTCAGACTTTCCAACCAGCAAGGTCTCTTCTTATCTTGACTCTAAGACACTCCCCAAACCAGGAGACCCCTCCTACCCCCAAATCGGCCCCAGCTTCTCAGAGAAAAGTTCATCCAAACAAGAAACTTGAAGCTCCAAATGGTGTGACTCACCCTCATGGCCGGGAAATGCAATTTCACAAATAACAACCCTCTTATTTTCCCCCTCTTTCCTTTCCTTTCTTTCCTTTCTTTCTTTTTCTCTCTTTCTTTCTTTCCTTCCTTTCTTTCTTTCTTTTTTTTTTTTCTCTTCTGGATAAGATTTAAGCAAGTCCACAGGAATCAGGACTGTTTTGGCAGCAAATTGTCAAGAGGAAGGGGAAGTTTGGTGGGTGCCAAAAAGTGCACTAATTACACCCTGAAAAGCCTCTCTCCCGTCTTGTGGCCACGCTCCCCTGCCCACGGGTGGCCCCATGGGCATCCCTGGACAGCCAGAGGCCTCGGAGCAGGCAGCTGCATACTCCACCCACAGCCTCTTGAAGGCCACAGCTTCCCCCCTGCCCACAGGCAGCTCCGTGCTCAAAGAAGCAAGGCCAGAGATCCCCCTCCTCAGTGCCTCCCCACCTCCAATGTCCTCTGGCCTGTCCCCAAGGGCTGTTCCTCCTCCCTTGCCGCAGCCCCAATTCAAGATGAACACCACCTTTGAGCTGAAAGGGCAGAGACTGTCAGCTGATCCAGCCTCATTCCCAAGTTACAGATAGAGAAACTGAGGCCCAGAGAGGCACAGGGACACAGACCAGGGCACCCAGCCAGGCCTCAAAGCCAGGAGTCCTGCTTGCCTGGCCGGCGCGGAGGGCGGGCGGGGCAGCAAGCTGTTTCCTCTCTGAAGCCCTGTTTGAGCTCGGGCCATGGAGGTGAAAGGCGAGTCGGCCTCCCGGCTGTTTGCACGGCCTGTGGGGACTGGCCAGAGCCGAGGCCAGGACACAGAGCTCCGTCCCTCCCTGTGCAGAGCCGGGGCCTGGCCTCTTGGGTTTCCCATCTGTACACCGTGAATGGAGCAGAAAAGAAGGGCACCCTTGATGATCCCCGCAGTCATGCGTTCTTGGGGCGCAGACACCAGGTACTGAGAGACGCCCCAAGCCCGGCATGCAGAAGGCACTCGGTCCACACAGGCACCACCTGTTCCTCGTCCTCTCTTCGGCGGCTGGAGGGCGAGGCAGGCCCAGGAGCCTTTCTGGGTCAGCCTAGCTTTGCTGCTCTTGCCGTCCCCTCAGAGCAACTCCGCTTGTCTCTGCATTTGCTGCCCTCCATGGAGCACCCCTCTTTGTTTCCATCTGAACCCCCTCCAGGACCTGAGTCCAGACTAGCTCTACCTGCAGTGTTGTGGCCTTGAACACTCCCTTCCCCTTACTCAGGCTCCGAGGAACGAGGAACGGTGTGAAAAGCACAAGTCTAAGGTGCTCCCGAGGCCCCACTGGCCACAGAGGCCTCCTCCAGGGGCCTCCCTAACCCCCGGCTGCGGGTCAGTCCAGCAATGTGGTTGGCAGGGGGCAGGGACCACCATGCGACTGTGTCTGCAGTTGCCTGGTGCAGTTCTGACATCTCTCTCTAATCTCTTTACACGAGTGATGCTTCCTCATCTCTCCCACGAGGCTCAACGTCCCTGAAGACAAAGATTCTGCAACCTTCCATCGCCCAGAGCCCAGGCTGCACTGATACCTGTCCTGGGTGCAGACAGCCACAGGCAGGGCAGGGCCTGGGAGCCCCAGTGACAGAGAGGGTGACAGGTGCCCTAACACCTTAAAGCATTCAGGTTGGGGTCTCAGTGTTGGTGGATGGTAGGAGGATACTTTCTGACCAGATTAGGCTGCTCCAGGCACGAGTGGAGGACAACCCCACTTACGTGGTGGGTGGAAGCCCCTGGGCTATCCTGGCCCAAATCGTCAGCCTTGGGGAAGAGGCTACCTCTCCTTCCTCCCTGGTTCAGTGACCCCAGGAGCTAGCAGGAAGCATGGGACCCTCTCACCATATTTGAGGGACTGAGCCTCGGACTCCTGCCCATTGCTGGAACTTCTCCAAGGTTCTCGCTTGGCTATTAGGGAAAGTTTATCCCGATTGTATCATGTGTTATATATTTGACTAGATCCTTTGCTTTTCTTAGTTCACTTATACCTGGCAAAAACATGATTTTTTAGTTTTTAGAGACAGGGTCTTTCTCTGTCACTCAGGCTGGAGTGCAGTGGCACAACCACAGCTCACTGTAACTTCGGACTCCCGGGCACAAACAATCCTCCCACCTTAGCCTCCTGAGTAGCCAGGACTATAGGCGTACATCACCCCATGAGGATAATTTTTAAATTTTTTGTAGAGACGGGGTCTCATTGTGTTGCTCAGGCTGGTCTCAAACTCCTGGCCTCAAGTGATCCTCCCACCTTGGCCTCCCAAAGTGCTGAAATTATAGGCATGAGCCACCTCCTGGCCACAAACACTATTTAAACTGGCTTCATCGGCGCCGTTTTATAGAGCTAGAAACTGAGGCTCAGAGAGCTGAGCAACTTGCCCAAGGGAACACAGCCAGTTGTGTGCTGGCCTATTAAGTTTCAGCCTCTGCACGGCCTCCTAGGCTTGGCTTCTCCTATAGGAAGGGGAGCCAGAGGAAAATGCCAGGTGTGGACCACTCTCCTTGGCACAGAGGCCCTATGATGTCATATGCTAAGCCCTTCAGCCCTGGAAAGATGAGGGACCAGTTTCTCTGGGCTGCATGAGCGGTTTGGGCCCTGGGGATGGTGGCTCTGCTATGGAA